CAATACAGAATTGGTTTCTTCCAACAAGGAAAAATGTTTTTTTTTTCAAAATTTTATTCCCCCCACAAATTTAATTTTATACAGTAAATCAGGTAAATACTATTTGTCATATTCACCCATTGCTATATGCTGCGCGACTGAGGTCACTCAACGTATATAAGTGTCATTTGTTGCACATCCCTCAACTTAATTAAATGTCACTTGTTGCACATCCCTTAACTTAAGTAAGTGTCTGTTCATGCACTAGCTATGTCCTGTTCGAATAACCCCAAGGTCATGCAACTCAGTTACACATCAGGTAAATGCCGTTTATTTTTTCCATCGATTCACTGTGTGCTGCATGAAACTTCAGGGTCAAACTCAGTTGCACATTATTCAACTTAGCTAAATGTCATTTATTGATTTACATACATTGGCTGTGTCGTATGCGAGTAACCTAATTTACATACATTGGCTGTGTCGTATGCGAGTAACCTAACCTAAAGTTACACAATACTTACGTTAATACTATTTATTGGTCTTTATCCATTAGTTGATGTCCTATTTGAATAACCTCAAAGTCACCCAATTCAATTATATATCACTCAATTTAGGTAAATGTCATTCACTGATGTCCACCACCATTGGCTGTGTTCTGAGCGGGTGATCCCAAGCTTATGTACTGTTAATAACAGTAGTCATAAAATGGATGATCATTCAACTTGAGTGGACCTGTCATAGAGTAGTGAGGAAATACATTTGCACCTGAGGGAGAGAGAGAGAGATCTAGAATTACGCAGGAGAATATTATACATATTGTTCAGGGCTAATTACCGCCCATTGCAGCATATTCAAATAAGAATGACCTCAAGGTCAAACAATCGACCAAATTGTTGGTCGTTTTACATCATTCCCTCGCGAAGTTCTTTATCGTAGCAAGACAACAATTTTTTTGTTCTTCGAAATTTTTTCTTTTAACGCAACAAATGCAAACAAATCGATTGTTTTATTTATCGGAATTTTTACTCCGACCAGTTGAGAATATTCCACCCAAGTCTTTTCTAATTCAAAAAATCCATAAATCCATCCTTTTAACCCAAAAAAAAAAAAAATCCAACCTTTTCAATATTTCATCAATAACTTTCTTACATTCATGTTGTCGAGTAATTATTCATTATTTATTTGATTCAATCAATGTATTCGCCATCGATCGAACGGAATATTGATCGCTGTATATTTCGCAAATTGTCACATTCGTATGGCAACATTCATATGACAACGATAACACTATTCGCAAATGTTCTCTCTGGAAAAGTTTTCATTACATTCATTAATTATTTCGAAGTATTAATAAAAATTTGATGAAATATTTGCTTATATAACAATTTTACGATCATCTCCTACTAAATTCATCTCATTATCACATCATTATTTATGCTTTATCATCAAAATCTCTCTCTCTGTTGAATCTTTTGATAGCTTTTTTTTTCCTTTTGTCACGTTGCGTCAAGGAATTGACACATTTTACTTATTTTTAATTTCGTTTATCCTTTGCTACTCATAAATTTGCATTATTTGCACATCTTCCAATTGAATCCTCAGATCCTCCTCCATCCCTCATTGTAATAAAAAAAAAGAAAAAAAGGATATCCCAAGAATTTACCCATCAATATTCATACATTCAAGTAGTATTCATCAGGATATGAGATTGATTGGTTGCATAATCACCTTAGTTCGGTTTATGTTACTTTGACGGCGATGGTTTTACACTGGTGTGTTTTGGTTTCGGCGTGTGTAGGTTGTTTTGTACGAGTATCTTGAGGTCATGTGCGGTTTGTTAGGGTAGAATGCGAGAAGGCTTGTTTCCATGCGTGCAAGCGCGCAAACATGCAAGTGTGCTGCAGATGATTGGGCGTTAGATAAGGAGGTATACTTGATTGAAAAACAGCAGTTATGTAAAAAATCAAATGCACATGATTGAGCGTTATCGATTTGTTACAATTTATGAAGTACTGACTGCATCATTCATGTATATTTATTACTAACAAGTTATTGACTTAAATGTGATGTTGTGCTATCGGTTGTCATTTTATTTATAGCAATCATATGAAGGTGACTGATCATTTCTTATTATTTTGTAATTATTTAGTTAAATTGTTGTCCATGCTTTTGGACCACATAAAAGTGACAGGAAAGTAACAGTTAAATGTCTTCAACGAATTGTGTCCCTTTATTTTAACACTGTGTTTTACTAGTTATGTAAGTCCATTGTTAGACTGTAGGTATAACCAGTGAGTCGTAGTGTGTATAAGTCTTCATGGGATTGTCAGTTAAGACTGCGTTAGAGTTCACAAATTTTTTCCTTTATGACATGTTGATAAGCTGTATGATTATCTCTTTTAGATTATTGAAAATATGGCTGTAACAGCAGCAAGTACTGCACCTCCACTTCCTAATCTGTAAGTTGTATAATCATTAACATACCATTTATTGACCATCAATATATTTCTGTAATATTTACGATATATTTGAAAAGCTCAAGTACCGTGTTATGTGATGTAGTTGATATGCTCCTTTGCATTGCATTTTATAACTTTACTTATAATCGGAACAGCAACTAAAAATTTTGGGGTTAATGCGAATATAGAAACACTCATCCTTTAGAAGTAGTGCAGTTTTAAAGGTGCTGTACATTGTTATACGTATGATTGCTGCTTATTTGTTACAGAAGTTCTATTTCTGCCATTGGTAGTTGGGCTGAAGCGGTCGAACAAGAAAGTAAGTCGCCTTATCCTTTTGCAACTTATCTTATTTATTAAGTTGTGTTCAACTGCTCCAATTTTCTGTCATGGAGCTGATAAATTATTGCGTTGTCGAGAAGTATGTAGAGATCAGAATGTAGAGTACGACTACAGGCATTTCTAAAAACTATCACTTTACGTTATTCGACTCTCCAAAACTTTGGAACTAAAATATATGCTTATTTTATGGGAACAGACACAAGTGTGTAATCAAGAGACCTGGGAGATAAGGCAGATAAGTTTAATGCAGAGAAAGTATTTTAAACTCGTTTTTCTTATTTGAAGTTCTTTTACTATAGCCGTTTTTTTATTAGCTTTTTTAGCTTTGGGTGGAGCTCATGAATCAACAAAAGATGGTATTAAAATTGTTACCGATATCATTTCTGATGATACTGGCAAATATAAGGTCAGTAAAGTTGATGTGAATTCTGGTTTAATATCAGTGACTTTTTTTTTTTTTGAAAATTGGCAATGATTTTTATATTTAATAGATTTTTATTCATAAATAGAAAAGTTTGCGCTAAGAAGAAATATTTGTAAAGCGAGTATTTTAAAAATGAGGTAGGGAAGTTCAAATTTGTACAATCCATGCAGGATGAACCAAAACGCGGGTGCAACAAATCCCAAGCAATTTTTAATTCTGTGCTATTTATGTGTATATGACAGGTTGTGACAACTTTTAAAGTTGTGACAAAAAAGGTGTCAAGACCAATAGCAGAGCGGAAGAAATGGAAGAAATTCGGACAGTGTAAGAATGATGGTCCTGGACCGCATGTGTCAACAACTTATGTGGCTGAAGAAGTTCTTATGCAATTCATTAGAAATCGTGCTGGTGAAGTAAGTAATGATTTGTTCTGATTTACCTTTTTTGGTTTTATTTTGTAGACTATAAATAGCTGGGAGCGCAACAAGTGTAATTTTAGCAACAACTCGATATCGGTGACGAGGGAACTAAAGTTGCAGCAACAGCTGGAGGGTCATTCACTCATTGTCGCTACTGCAAAGTTAGTTTTCTTAATTCTGTGGATGGGAAGTGAAATTTGGTTATCGTCATGTTTTGAAGAGATAGAGTCATTGCGATCCTTTTCAGTTCAAAAAAAAAGGGATTTCACACTGTACTTGTAAACTTAGAATAGCGGTTCAATTAAATACACATTTGGTCAAATCTCAGTAATTATGATTATGACCTGGTCAGTTGGGTTAATTTGGGTGCTTACAAACTAATTCACATTTTAAAAATCGGTTTTAGTCGGACGAGCATTGGTCTGTAAGTTGTCCATACAAGTCAATGTATGCGAAAGATGATGAGGAGGATCTGGAAAGTAAGGAGAAAGATACAAAACTTGGTCCAACAGTATCGGGATCAGGCAAGTATGTAGCACCGGGAATGCGTGGAGATCGTCCAGCCATTACAAGTGGTGCAGAAAGGAGGTCCGAGGAAAATACATGCAGAGTTACGAATTTACCGGAAGAATGTGATGATGAGGTTGATTCATTTTTCGAAAGTTTGGACCACGTTGCTTTTCTTTATCAAATTTCGTCTTACTCCATCTTTAGTCCGTGTGACGTCACTACGAATGATTTAAAAAAATTTTCATATATTTTGTGGAATCTATAAATTTGAGATTATTTTCTTTATTTTGAAGTTAACATGCAGGGTCAGAAGTTGAGTGAAAATATAGAACTTCGAAAAAGTAAGCAATGGTTCTAGGAACTCCGTGCTTTATTCGGTACTGTGGGTACCGTAAATAGAGTCTTTATTGCGAAGGATAAACACACGAATAAACCGAAAGGATTCGCTTTTGTCACTTTTGAACATCGCAGTCAAACAGAAGCAGCAATACAGAAGTTAAATGGATATAAATTGGATCACCTCGTGCTGAAAGTTGAATGGACAAGGTTTGCTTGATAATATTATCCATAAAGCATGAAATAAGTTCATAATGTTATCAGTCATATCAACCCAATTGCCGACTGGTGTTACTGACTACCAGTTGATAAAGGATGAAGCTGTTTGAAATGTTAAGCTACAGATTGATCGTGCTGTACTTCATATTTAAAGTATTGGAAAATTTTCTTTTTTTTGCATTTTTTATCTCCATGAGGAATTTCTTATACTACTGTAGTGTTTTTGTTAATTTCATCGCTAAGAAAATGAATTTGACTTTGAGCTGAATGATATTTAAGGTAAATCAAGTTTACCGAGTGTTCTTTTTCATTTCAGACCAAACAATTAGTGGTACTCCTCAGCAGTAGTGGTATGTGAAGTTGAATGGGATTTGGAATTTCATGATTTTTGCTTTGGTTGTATTAACCTACAGTGATTGTGATTTGAATAAAGTATAAAATGGCCTTTTTTTTGTACGATTTTGATGAGAAGTTTCTATCAATATTTACTCGAGCAATATAGTTATATGAAATAAAATGATGCATTTTTTTAAAAAAAATCATTCTTTGCAGACCTTATAATTTGATGTGAAATTCAAAAAGAAAGGGTAGGGGTAGATGGATGTTCGGTTTGACTGGCTGGCATGTTTTTGCTGTTCCTTTTTTTCAGTGAAACAAGTGGGAATAAGTTTACGCTGCAAATTATATTTTTCAGGACACCGATGCAACAGTGAAATCCTATTGCCTGAAATGGGTTTGCTTACAATTTTGAAGAAACAGCGTTTAAAGGAGAAAGAACTACGAATATTAGTTCTAGGTCTAGATAACAGTGGGAAAACGACTGTAGTGAAGAAACTGAACGGCGAAGAGATCGATGAAATTGCACCAACTTTTGGTATATTTAGTATCTCCGAAGTACCATAGGTTTTACAGTCAACCTTTGTTGCACTGGTCATTTCTGAACACTTGACTTTTTCCTAATTTGTTTTAAACTTCCCCCAAGTCTTCAAAAATCTAAAAATCTCAAGTACTTATTAATATTTCTCAATAATGCTATTACATCATTTAAATAGCCTATCTGATTATCATAGCATTAACCTGCAAGAGAAACATTAAAGCCAGTGAACTGTCAATATTTTTGAGTAGAACTAGTTACTAATTCTACCTAAACATTTTGACAGATTAATCCGTCACTGGTCCCATCTTTTCCAAAAACCATGATTTATACCATTACTTTTGCATAAATGTTACCGGACATTCTTTTCCACACTCAAATTTGTGGAACCCTTTTGGGCTTTCTAGTATTTGTTTCGATTTTTCCATATGCAAGTTACAGAAAGACTTGAATATTTTGAGATTGCTTGACATATGTTCTTACAGGTTTCAATATCAAAACATTAGAATATAAAGATATGAAATTGAACATGTGGGATGTTGGTGGTCAAAAAAGTTTGCGGTCATATTGGCGCAATTATTTCGAACAAACAGACGGTGTTATATGGGTTGTGGATTCTGCTGACATTGATAGAATGGATGATTGTAAGCGTGAACTTGGATCATTACTGGTACGATATTATGCCATTCATATCATTTTACGAATAAAATATTGTGAGGTCCTCACCTATGTTTTTACTATCTTTTAACTAGAACAAGACTTTATTAACAATATCAAGGAAGGTGGCATAATTGTTTTGTATTAGTACAGTCAGTATACTTCCAGTTCTGATCCTTCAAGTGCTGGTTTAGACTTAGTCACCTCCACATTTGTTATGCTTGTCATGTAAGCGGACAAAAGCGTACTTGGAAAATTTTCTGTTTTTCGAAGTCTGAGAATTTTAAGGTGGAAGAAAGGCTAGCTGGAGCATCACTCTTAGTTCTTGCCAACAAACAAGATCTGTCATCCAGTGCAGGCTCAGGAGAAATTGAAGAGGTTAGAGATGTTTCATTTTTTTTCTTATGAAACTCGTTTATTCATTTTTTAGCGTAATATTACTGTTCAAAATATCAAAGCGAATATCATTGTTCCCTAAATTAAGTTTCATGGATTAATCTCTTAAAGGTTGATTGATCCGATGAAACAAATTTCTTAACTTAAGGGTAAGATTTTGTTGTTAATATATAAGAATCACTAAGATATTTGCATACTATTATAACCATGCTGACCAAAGGATTAAGTATAGCGAATGTTGCTGTTCCCTAAATTAAGCTTTGTAAGATTAATTTACTGAAAGATGACTGGTCTGATGAAACAAGTTTCGTAACTTAATTTTCGTAGTTTAGCTTTCTTTATGTAGTTTAAAATTGTGTATCGTTAGTTCAACACCATTCAAAGTTGCAGTTATTGGGTTTGCGCAACTTAAAGTCACATCATTGGAATATATATGGATGTAGTGCATTTACTGGCGAAAATCTGCTTGAAGCAATTGATTGGTTATGTACTGATATCTCTTCTCGGTTATTTACCTTCGATTAATTTAATACCAGAATGTTTTTGGCTTTTTCTTGCTATTTGAAGTTATTATATACATCATTTGCTTTATGCCTTGCGCAGAAAACAAAAATGTTTTAAACCCAGTTAAGCTTTGACGACAATATCCCTCTTACCGGTGACTGTTTAGAATAGAATGCTTACGATGCATCACTATGTAGTGTGAAAAGGATTGTGTTGAGAGATCGGTTAATTAATTAGACGGAAATGTAAGTTTATTGGACAGAAATAATTCACCAGTATATGACTCACCGGTTAGCATAGAAAATCCCTCATACGAATTCTTCCCGCACTCGAAACTTCCCTTTCTTGACTATCTAGTTTTCGTTATTTTTTTTCCAAGTTTTAACTGCTTCTCTTAACCGTTAAGTATAAATGGATTTTCCATTGTCTTTAAGGTTAATCTTATTAGCGATTTAATATAAAATAAGCCTCTCAATACCTGACAAAGATCATTTGTTTTGGTTTAAAATTTTGTTTTAAAAACATCATTTGTTTTGGGTCCTATTTGGTTCCATCAGCTGTAATTTAAGGGTGTCCGATAGTTGTGATTTTAATATCATCTTTAAATTGATGTCTGTTTTATGCTTCTTTATTGAAAATTGTTTCGTAGTAATAATTTTTGAATACGAGCAAAGTTCTACTGAATCCCACAATATTCGCTGTCAATATCCAGGATATGGAGTTGATAGAAAGGATATTTCTTCTTTTTTCTCTTAGTTATCCGTTTACTGTATGTTATTAAAATAAATTTGAAATGTTGTGTACTTATCACTTGTATGTCTTGGAGGTTTAACTCCAGTATTATTCTAGTATTTCGAAACAGGTAGTGCATACAGATTATCTATTTTTAAACAGTAATTTGATGTATTAAATAAATTTTAATATGGAATTGGCGAAATGAAAATAAATAGGTCTAGTAACTTATGTGCTTTTATGTTATAGGTGTTATGGGGTTTTTCTTTGCTACGTCTTTACCTGTTTTCAGGAATGGACTGTCTTTCGGGTTCTTCCGTTTATTTTTCATGTTTGCTTTTAGATGTAATTAAGCACATTATCTACTCGACTTGCATGGAAAAACTGTTTGAAAAAGAGAGAAAATATATGTTATAATTCGTCCATGCAGGTTAGGATGGTTGTATTTTGCGGTGCACTCATCATTAATGAAGAGAAAAGTAATATTAGGGCATTTTCTACGTGATTAAATAAGAATTATTACCTGTAGAAAGTTATCGATGTGAGGAGGTGAGCATATTAATATTTCTTTAAAATTATCGAAATTCGCTGTTCATGCAACCTTAACATCAGCGTAGTGGTAACATCAGAACTAGGATAGATAGTGTGTTAAAAAAAGATCACTTGTACGGTATGCGTATAGCATAACAAAACTTTCCATCTCATCCGTTTGATTGGAAAGGAAGCCCATCATGCTAATCATGTATCAAAAAATTCGTTCCGTTCTATCTGTTAATTCCTAGAGGTT